CAAGGGAACGCGCCAAGTGAACTTCATGGAAGGCGCCTGAGTTAAGCTGCATCGAACACCTTTCTAGCAGTCGACGCCCATGTAATGTTCTCGACTACTCCATCCTTTACGGAGAGATCATGGACAAACTGCCAGCCCTGATCATTTCAATGTGCATTTATTCATTAACCTGCTCCTGTGGGACAGAATATATTGGTCGCAGGAGCCGGCGTTTATCCAATGAGTACAAGATCATCTTCCAGCATGGTTAGGGAAAGGCCAAATAAAGAGCATTAACAGTTCCATTCTAGCGCACATGGTAGACCCAGATCATCGCGCGGATGCCAGAGAGGTTTCTGAGTGATCTACAAGGTGGTGTCAAGTTATTAAAATTCCTTGGAAAGCATCTGCTAGCTACGGTGAAATCGGCTATCATCATGTTAAACAAACCGGTCATGTGCGCCCAGAAGAACTTCGTAAAGGCGCCGCAGTTACCATGGCCAAAATTCGCCAATTAAACTGCCCGCAGCTTATTACACTTCCCAGCGGCCAGTTCCTTCTGACACTGATCAGATTGCTGACTTCAACTTTGTTCACCCGACCCTGACAAACGCATGATTGTTTCTACCAACCTGCATACTTTTTTATTTAATTACCATATAAATGTACAGGCCTGAAGAGAACTTATCGAAAGTAAACATATGCTCGCCAATTTATCGGTTGCATTTTCAATAGGAATTTTCGCAAATTCAGGAACTGTTGGTTTTAGTACACGCGAAATTCTCATAAAGTCAGGGAATAAATATACAGAAAGTAGATGCAGGTTTTGTCCATGGAATTTTAACTTCACCGCCAGCACGGACAGGCACTAAGAGCTCATCGGTCTCCAAGAGTTTCCAGTGACAGGCTAACTCAAGTGGGAGCATTTGATTATCAGAAGCGAGCATAATGTGCTGACCTCCAAAATGAATTTAAAATAGACTGCAAGGAGGATCTTGGCATAATGGGCTGCCGCATTAGTCATATGTCTGAGTCACAAGCAGCAAAAAAAGATAAGAGTCGCAACAGCGTGTTGCAAAAAATCTCCGAGGACAAACCGGTTAAGTTAAATTCCTTCATTGCATTTCCGAACGTGTTTGATGCGTAGCAGGTATACGTCTTGCCTAGGTCAGCTGCTTTGATTGGCTCTAGGGACAAGGCCAGAAACGTGTTCAACCCGGCGTCCAAGTATACAATCCGACGACTAAAATAAAAGAGTTACTTTCTATATTGTAAGTAGATAGCAATAATGGACTTTTAACCATAGGTGGCCGACTTCGCCGTATGATGAATTAGCTCAGGTGCTAGAGACAAAAAAGAACTGAGCTACTTCTTAAACTCTTATTCTCTTCAGAAACCAATGCGCAATTTCAGTCTCCGTGTTCTTTGCCGGCAGTGTTAATTTGCCTACATTACTAACCAACTATATGGGCTAACATAAATGTAAACCATAGCCCTAATCCTAACTCTAAACCCCGCAATTATCACTGACCTTTGGCTTAACCCTAACGTCCCTTTACAATAGCCTTAACTGTAGCCAGAAAACTAACCCCATTTTCTCTAGAGTTTGGCACAAAGACACCTTTACTGCGGGCAGTTCATGTTCTCGCGTCCTGTGTAGGGGCCATATGCAGTAGGTGACCTAACGAATGCCAACTCATGACTAAAATTGGAGTTCGCCGTTTAGCATACATTTTTTCTATTTATTTTGGTCTGTTGAGTAGACTTGACGTTCAGAAGGTCTTTTATTAAGGATAAATGCATGTTTACTTCAAGTTATTTAAAGGGAACAGGTGGGATTTTGTCAAAATCGGTGGTTGTCGAATATCGAAGACATTTCGTACGCTATTTACCATGACAGAGCCAACCCTTTTATCTTGTGCATTGTGCTAAAAGGCGACACCAATTTAAGTACCAATTTACTGTATCAGTATTGGTGGATTCCATAAGTTGCAATAGAGTGGGCACGTAACTTGAGCCAAATGTGATTAAACTCACGGCTCCCGATCGGGGCCTTGTAACTCAGTTGGCTAGAGCGTTGGCTGTACTAAAACCTTCCCCTTGCTACCGTGGGTTGGACTCCCACCAGGGCCCTGCAGTTTTCACAAATGGGTCAAAGGAATTATCTAAATCCGCTTACACTACTAAAATATATCCCTTCCAGAACCAGAGAATCTGATCTTACTTAAGTGACAATTAGTTTGGAAGCAAGTGTACATATTTAACCGTGTATGTGGACACTGAGAACAATCTTGTTAAATTTGAAGCGTGTGGCTAGATACTTTTTGCACAGTATAGTTTCCCATAATACATAATTAAAAAATGCAACGGGCAGAAGATTAGGAGTTTTTGCAAGATCTTAGTATAAATTCGGCAATCCATTTGTGCATTTGCAATCTTAGGACGGGGCCCAAAAGTAATTAAATCTGGTGAAGCTCCAATATAACCAGTGACTTCTTTCATTTCCACTCAAGATTGTATAACTTATTTTCAGGAGTATTGAACAACCTGCTCAAAATTCGCCATTTTTACTTTGACATTACCTTGGAAAATTTAACATGCACAAACCTTCTTCAGTTTAAAATCTAATTAACATGCTTTTTAAAGAGCTCACGCACTTTAGAGTTTGTAATTCATCTTAGGCATAACAATACTGGACATTTGTTGTGGACGTTCTTTTTGCTCGAAGAGGAGTTTTCATGTTTGGATGCGTCTACAACTATGACCCAAACGACCACCTTTATAAGAACTAAGTTCGGGCATTTTTTGGCAAATGCTTTTAAGAACTCTTATTTTGAAGGTTTTGACCTAAATAAAACACAATCTAAGTTTGTAGAAAAAAACTTGAAAATACTGAAAATCGTAGCATTTTTGCCGGAGTGTTAAGGACGATCTACGAGCTGTTGTAGTCAAATACCTGAGAGATCTATGAAGAAAGTTGACGGAAGAAAGTTCGTTTAGTACAAAGAAAACGTTATGTTTGCGATTTATCTGTCGATCTTGTTTACATTTATTTGTCAAATTTACAGAGATTTCCAATGTTTTGCGAACTGGAAGCTTCTTTAAAAAGGTGGTATTTCTAAGCAAACATTGTTTATATTTCTTTTAAATTATAAATTCGCTTAAGGACGTTCATTATTAGTTCGAAATCGTGCGTTAATGTCGGTTTGCGAGTTATTATCACTCTTTCGCAAAGCCACTTCGGGTTATAGTGAAAACCTCTCGAGCGTGATCTTACACTAGCATTTTTAAAATCTGCTCTCTCTACCCTCTGGTAAATGCGATCGAGGGTCTCAATGCTGAGGAATCTGCCTCCTTCGCAGTAGTTATTGGATTTCAGAACAGCTTTGAGGAAGTTAATTACGCTCCTTCGCGAGGTGGAGAACCTACCCGGGTGCATCCACTATCCGTTGACTCGATTGGTCGGCCCATTTGACCTGGCTCCACAGAGGCGCAGGATTGGCTGTAATCTCACAGAGAAGCTGAACGTTGCAGCTGAATCGAGGCGCCGGCAGGACAGTGAAGATTCTGAGGCGCGGAGCATCTGGTAGAAACAAAGGTGCAAAAAATTGCACAAATAACCAGTGCCTTGTTCTTGGCACATTAAAAATTATCAATCCAGGAGGCTGCCGAAACGTCTGGACAGAGCGAGTTTTCTAAGGTCTGCAAGCAACACATGTACCTATGTAAGTCTGTAGGGATCTAAGTAGTCTTTGTACTCAGATCACTATAACCCTCAGGTCGAATTCAAGTTGATCTAAGAAGGCAGAGGATACCTGTGAGAGGGATTTATTGTGCACAGCACTCCTGGTTGTTTTCTAAGGCGGCAGTGACCACTGATGACACCAGGGCTAGTGTTGACTACAGGCAGTCATGCCTAAGAGTGTGAGACAGCGGCGGCATCTGCTTTTATGTGATTGTAGATCAACTTCAAGTGGTGTGTGATTGGTGGGTTGCATTACCCGAGAGGGTGTCGTGTATAGTGACCAATATTGCATCGGCCGACGAATGGCGTGTTCGAGTTGCCGTTAGGCAGCTGCGACTGTCTAGAAGGGCTTTTGTGCGCAAGTGGTAGTCGGTCAAGGGTCTGCAGGTCAACTAGTCGAAAGCGGCTGCCTGTGAATTGAGGCAGCGGGCAAGGAATAGGGAAGTCGGACAACAATGTTAGCTGTCCGCCACAAGTTCATGGAAGCATAAGAAACCTGCATCTTGAATGTATACGGTAAAGTGCAGTAGGGGAGCTATCTCAAAATGTTCACCAGAATTCTGGACTGCATTTTCGATAAGAACCGACTACTTGGGTGGTGTTGCAATACTGATTATCATGCAGTCTGATTCTACGCCAGTATGCTAGCTTTTGAATGAGGCTCCTTATATCCACTACCTGTATTACAGGCGGTAAAATTGACTCTGCTTAAATAGCACGAATTTGACACAACGATTTTCAATGCCTTTATAAATTAAAATCTGTTTCACAGAAAGCATACACAGAAAAATTCTTCTAAATATTTAGGAAGACATTTCCTTCTATTCCGAAATGTATATCATCAGGAAGGACGTATTTCGGAGTTTAAATAATTTTCAATTTTGCGATTTTTTAAGACGTTGAAATTTCTATTCATATATAATGCTAATTATGCAGTATAAAATGTATTCCACATCCAATGCATTATTGGGGGAAATTCTGAAATGTGCTAATCATCTGAACAACTTACATAAGTAGGATTGTAGTACTGTTTATCATGCAGCCTAATTCACTGATATTTCACTCAAGTAAGGATGCCGGCTTTTGAATGGGCTTCTTTTTGGCCACCTTCAAAAGACATGATTTGATTTTTATCCTCAATTTACGATGCCCTCATAAATGCAAATATATTTAATAGAAAGCACACACAAAAGTATTCTCTCTTGCACCCATTTATTAGCAAATTATGGCCTCTTAAATTTTTTAATTGAAGACAGGATGGCATTCAGTTTTTTTAAATGCTCCGAATTGCCGAATAAATTTGAACCCTACTGTTCCTCACACTTGAATGCAAGCTTTCCAAACTACCAGCAGTATAGATTCTGTCTAAGGAAAATTACGTATTTGTCTGTGGTATGAGGGAGAGGCTGTATTCTTCTCACAAAACTTTGCAATCGATGTAGACTATGCTGTTTACACTATAGGCAACATAAACAAATTAGCCGATATGATCAGTAAAAGTTTTAGGACCACAAGAAATCTCACACTTAGAAACTCTTGAAGAGTCGAAAGATACCATTTCTTCGGGTATAAAATTTGAAGAATGCGCAAGTTGCTACTAAATGTGTACAAGAAAGCGGTTTTTTGTGATTTTTTCCATTTCTATATGTTAATTCTTAAGGGCATTGACTATCAATACTTATTTTTCGCAGAGCATACTATTTGCAGGCAGTCAAAAAAAACTTCCCCCAAAAGGCAGCATCCCGACGTGACAGAAATATGTTGAAAGTAGGCCGCAGGCTAATAAATACAATAACCATACCAAAGCCAGTTGTTTGAATCAAAAAAATGTTCATGCGATAGGGAATCTACTGCATATGTGCCCTTTAAAAGCAAAGAGAAATGAAATAGTTTCCTTGCAAAGAAAGTATAGCGCATAAAGATTTGCAACCGCAACTTCAAGCGTTACTACGACCTGGGTACCAACTTATTCGGGAATTTAAAATGTTTTTTTCGAAAACTAAAAGGTCCCCTTTCCTCAAGTGTAAATGTTAAGACGATGTATTTTCCCATCCAATTAATACGTTAAAGACTATTTGTTGGACGAATTCTTGCTACTTAAATAGTCATTTTTTGCCGAATGCGGTTTGCGTAGAGTGTCGGACAAAAGCTAATTTAAGAGCCGGCATCCTAGTGTGACTGAAATATTGTGGGGTAAGGCTGCATACTTATAAATGCTGCAAACGAAATAATCCTTTCTAATATAAAATTTATTTCAGAATTTTGGTTAAAATCTCCTGTGGTAGGTCACCTCCTGTGCCTGCAGACAAAAGATTTCCGCGCCCTCATATGATTGATTTGTACACGTCGTTAAAAAATAGCATCAAGTAATTCTAATTGAGGTTTTGTCTCAATAAATTTAGCATATTTTAGTTTCCCCCTAAATTTCATTGAGCATTTTGATGCCAAATTGAAACTGGGTACATTGGCACTTTGGTCATTAAGACACAAAAACTTACGTCTGACATAAAGTCTAACGGGCCAGTACGCGCTTCCGAGGTTATTTTCAGCCCTGCACATATATGTGCCCGCATCGTCGGGAAGGGCTCCGTCGAATTGAATGAGTTCGCCCTAATCGGTGATAAGGAAAAGTCAAAAGTTGTGTTTTCGTTTCCTTCAACATACAAATAAGCATTTTATTGCGCACAAGTCACAGCCAGTTAAGAAACTACAGACTAAGCGAATTAACATTTCAAAAGAGGGTGCGATAACCGTTTGGCATCAGGCAGGTGTAGCAGAATGTTATACTTCTAGGCTTACGCAGTCTGAAGACTGATGCGGTAGTTTTCAATTTCTTGAAATTTCAACCAAATTTCCATTACATGTATTCGGTTCGATAAATATAAGTAGTCACATTTCACTAAAGATTTCCGTGAGGGGTACAATGGAATATGTGGATGGTGTATGTCCAACCTTTGTGGTGAGTAACGCAACCGACGCCTATACAATGTAGTAGAACGAACATGTTTACTACTACTAAATAAGCAGGTCGTTATGCAAAGTAAACAAGCTGCTGTCACTGGCTTTAAATGACAACGCATTTTAACTTTTAGAACTCCGACAGGGGGAAGACTAACCGGTTTCATATTGCCATAATTGCGAATGAGACTACTGCTGCCCCCAGTCCTACGCCAAGTAATGACCGGCGGCGGGATTCCATGGGCCTCACAACGTAGCGTCACTCTGTCGCCCTCATTAACAGTTGTATCGTAGGAGGACTGAAAGTTGTTGATGGTCGGTACGGCTGAAAAGCATTAATGTGCGGCAGAGAAGAAAAATGCATACGGCGTATCTGAAGAATCATGACAAATGGCAATGTACGTGACTATTTCTCGGACGCAAAAAATGGTTGGGCAATTTAGTCCTCCGGTTAGCCCATTCCCTAAAATTTCTTTATCTTTGGGCGGAAATAATTGGTACTATGACTTACTTAGGACAGATTTGTGCATTAGCACGTGATTTTCTACGAAAGGAGAGTCTACTTGATTCTAAAACCAGCCTTTTACCGATATCGGACGTCTGTGTGGTGCTATGCAATACGATGAATTTCCTGTCTCCATATAAACGTCCTTCAAATGCTTTTGCGAATATTCCACAAAAAGACCCATAATCATGTAGTTTTTTTAACTTTTATCCATATGGTAAGGTAGTTTTTGCGCGGTTTAGTTTCTGCTAACAGGCAGACTTTAAACAGTTTGATAAAATTATATTATATTTGTATGACCTTTTTCTGCTGTTATTATAATGAAACCGCGACATAAGCAACGAACGTTGTTGTTATATAGTTCATCAGTTAGATCACCTACTGTTCCCACTCCTTCTTGAGGAAAATAAAATTCCTACTATTCTTAACTGAGAGAGTTTGTCGGGTATTTCTACGGTTAAATGCTGACGCTTAAAGGTTTAAGCGAAATATTTAAACATTCCTGTGCTTATGCTGTTGTACTTAGTTACTTATTTACATACACAGATTTCATGAAATTCTAAACTTTCATTTACTTATTAGAAATACATTTTCGTTTTTCTTCTCAAAGGTTCTTTTATTTTTAGGCAGCATCATGTTACTGCTCAGATCGATGGATATGGGCTCGTTTCTGATTACTTTATTCAGATCTTTTTCGTCATCCAGATCGCCTACTACATGTTAATCCTTTGGCACGAAAAGACTGGTAAACATATTTCCTACCATTCTTAAATGAAGAAATCTCTCAGGTATTTTAAGGGAAAATACTGATGCCTAAAGATTTATTCATATGTGCTTACCAACCACTTTGAGGATCCGCTCAGCCCTTGCAGGTTCTACGGAGCCTGTATACTGGCATTCGCAGGAATAATATCCTTCGTACGTTTGGTCAACCGAGAGTATCTCTAGTCTAAAAAGTTAATGTTTTCATAACACGGCTGTCAGGTTCGATGTTAATTATTTAAGATCATTGATAGTATGGTAAACCTGAGAACCGTTTCAACCTTAGTAGATAAAAAGATCATATAGTTTGTCAGTTGAACAATCAGTTGATGGGCGTTTGCATACAATTCCAAGTTCAGCAAGCCTGAAACCTATAAACTTGGTCAAAAATATGTCGTAAAGGGAGTTCAAAGGATATAGGCAGAAAACGGGTCAGGCTATTGCACATTTCTTTGAGGTTCGCCTCTTCCTAATTATTGATTTCGGAGCTTAGACTCCAAGCTGAATGTTTTCCATTCGCATTTGGCTTGGAGCCAGTTAAATCCCCCTTCGATGACAAGTAAACTTGTAACTACGACGGTGCCACCGGACGTTATTCAGACAAACACTAACGAAAGAACATAAAAGTGTTGAAGGACCGCAATACACGGTGAATAAGAAAAAGGCAGTACACACATCATCTGCGGCCTTGAAGAATATAAGGCTATTCTTACGTCAGCTTTAACTGAAGTTACGAAAGCCGATTATCATCTAAGACATTTAATGCTGAGTACTAGTTTGAAGATCATTCAAGAAAACGTTCTGATAAGTGTTATGCAATCAACAGCCCTAACCACAGATACTTTTTTCGGGTTATAATAGTACATTTCCAGTGTCCTTGCGAAGTAAATGATTAACTTATTGTGGACTAACCAGTCAAACAAACGTTACATAAGATCCAAGAATGCAGTGAATATAAAATATCCATTCGCCTTTCATCGACCTATTCAGGCATTGACATAGCTGACAAATAAACACGTTGGGCAGAGTCTCTTGTGAACAATGGTCATGAGTGACCAAAAAGATCGATGGTTCTTTTAAGGTAAAAATATTCATCTTACCACCCCGTAGTGCAAGACTAAAAGACTTAAAAACAGTTGTCTCATATATACTGAAAAGCTATTGAGGCTATTATTTTTGTCTTATAATAAATTAATAAGTTTTTTTTCGAATATCCTTTAAACAACAACGTTCTGGAGGTTAAAGAAATATTTCAAGTATTCTTTA